ATCATATCGTATTAGTTTTAGGTATAAATAATGATCCATTGATTGTTCCTTGTTGAGCGGACTTGTCCTTTAACACAATAATGATCTAAGTGCTGGTTAGCGGGCTGGTTCTGGTTCAGACGGAAGCTTTTTCCTGTCGTTCCTTTTTTCTCTCTGTCCGGCTCATCGACGGATTTAATTTCTGAAGAAATCGTTGAGAATTGCTGCTTTGGAGCGGAGAACCTTCAGAGGAACTCAAACCAGAACTGTTCTTGGAACCTCCATCTGTTTACATGATAGAACCAACCAGACCTGTTCCGACCAAAATGAGAGACCTTATCTCCCCCTCTGTGACATCATTCTTTAGCCCTTCTCTGATTGGCTGCCCTAGGAAGGGAAGACGATGGAGCAGCACTCCAAACAGATCTCCAGGCAGTCCGATGAAGCACAGCAGTTCTCCAACATACCACAATCCAACAGCGCCTGACAGGCTTCCTCTGTACAAGCCGCTTCCCCCGCCGCCTCCATGCAGCAGCAGCACGCCGAGGCATCGCAGCAACAGGCCCCGCCCACGGCGCAGGCCAGACACTCCCCCAGCGCCGAGCACATGGACATCAGCTCGCAGAACAGGCAGGCCAGCAGGCAATGGGCGCAGCAGTCTGTGGAGACAATCAGCATAAAACACCAGACAAATACTTCAATATTAGTGAGAAGAAGCAGAGATGGAAAAACCTGGGAACGGTTTTTAATGGTAGAAAAAGGGTTAAATTGGTTTAATTGACGATATAAACCCAGCCCATACCATGATGCACCCATTTAACATCACAGAGCATGAAAGCAGGAACTGATCTTGAATTCTGGTTATTCTGACCTTATTCCTTTCCTCTTTCTATAACAGTTTATGCAGCTTTTATTTCTGTTTCACATTATTTGACCTCAGTTAAAACGACCCAGCGGCTCTCCTCTGCTTCGGCTTCAGCGCCTGATGTTCCGTTGGTGGAAACCAGAGCGGTAGTTGATGGGAGGAGTGGGAGGGAGCTGCGCTGCGTGTGTTCTGCAGAGATAAGCCGCCTGTCATGTTGCTGTAGATAAACAGTGAGATGGGAGTGAATTTGAAATTCTGCCCAGTCTGTTTTTGTTCAGTTTCAGGGTCTAAATGCCAGATCACAGCAGGTTCCAGTCACGCCTCGACATACGTCATCTCTTCAGCGGGACTCACAACATTTAAACAGTTGATCCTGTTTATCAGTGCAGACCGTGCAAAATGACGGCGCGTCATTCGTTAGATTGACGGTTGGTCGTGATTATGACTGGTGGCGTTTCAATAATTCACCTCCGGGACTCCATCCGCCCCCAATAAGAAGAGGGGTGTCACTGAAAACCCACACAGGTCCAGTTATGTAAAAAAATAAAAAATTTGTCCCACAATTGGGAAATTCTCCTTGTTTTTAACCCATCCCCCTTAGGGAGCAGTGGGCAGCCAGTGCGTGCTTAGGAACTGCTCTGACCACTAGGCCAAAACGCCCCACCCTGTGGCCCTACAGGGACGTCCTATTAGAAACACACCCACAGACAGATCATTTTACACCTGTGCTTTTCTTTAAGACATTACAAAAGTCAAGTTTTACTTTATCAATGATGTCACTCATTTGGCCATTGATGTCACTCACTCTACCAATGAGGTCACTTATTTCACCAGTGGTGTCATTTAGCCAGAGATGGGAAGTAACGAAGTACAAATACTTCGTTACTGTACTCAAGTAGATTTTTCTGATATT